TTTACTTCCTTCCATTTTCCTCTGCTCATAAATTTGTAGTTGGTCTTCGACGAAACCCTCTGCATCCCGGGGACCCTGACTATTCCTCCAAGGCACCCACTCTGTGGTCGAGTACGACCTCCAGCCTTACCATGTCGAGGCTGTTGTCACACCTCCTGTCTGTCCTAGCATGACGCCATCTCCAGACAAAGCTGTTAACGTTGCTACAACCAGGTATTTTTAGTTTTCTCTTGATCCTATCTATCCCTTCTGACTCAATATTTCCTTTTTCCAGTTCTAACACTGGTGTGGTTCCTCAGCCTCAAAGGATCACGAAGCCAGAGCCCCCTAAGGCCTTGTAAGTATTTTCCACGCGCTATATTTTATTTCTTGTAATGTATCTTTTTCCTCTTTTAGCATTCTAAATTTGGTCCCCCAAAAAGGCGGCCTCATCAAGAAGATGGTATCTTCACCTGTGGAGATGCCCAAGTCTTGACCCTGGTGGGTTTCTCCTACGTATACCTTCCTGTATAGTAGCTAGAATATTTGTTCTCCCTTTCTAGCCTCCAGTGACTACACGCAAGCGAGCTCGTGAAGAGCTCACATGAGACAGTGTGAGCCCTTATTTTCTCATGCTGTATCTAATCTCCCTGACTCTTCTCTTTAGTCCCCAATATTAAATACCCCACAGAAGGCGCAAGCCTCTATGTAAGCTTTTGGTCTTTGCTCTCTAGCTTTATATCCACATTCATGACTCTGTTTTATTCAGCTTTCGTAACTTGGCTCTGAGGAAGCCTGTGGTCATGGCCAAAAAGCCTGTGATCCAAGGTAATATTTTTTGTTTTGTATTTTTATTTTTCTGATGCATTTCATCTATTCCAGTTCCTTCAATCATGGTCTACGAAGATGAGGAGCTGGAGGAGGAAGATGCCATAGAGAGGAGCAGGTGGAGGATCAGTTAGATAAGGAGCAGTCAGAATCGGAGGATGGCCTTTCTCCTCTGCCAGTGAAGTGTGCACGAATGCGGTTGCTTGACACACTACCCCCTCCTCGTGTGTACCATCCTTTAACTGGAGAGCCTTGAGCGGCCTCTCATTTCTCATGTTTTCTACAGTGACCCAGCCTCTCACACCACCTTCTTCACCATCCCCATCTCAACCGCAAAAATGAGGAGTGGAGACCCCCTGGTTCTAAAAACAAGAAAGGGCAGGGCACTTCGAGTGTGCCTAAATCCACTTGCGGCCATCTCAAGGCCTCTGTTGTTACTGGATCCTTGCATGCCCAGACTGCACCTGAGGCTTCATCATGAAGCCTCCTCTTCTCCACATTGTCCGAGCTCCCAGATGAAGAACACATACTGGCGCCAAGAGGGGAAGCCGTTTGCAAGGGCGAATCTCCATGCCTGGTTTGGAGAAAGACACCGTGCATGCCAGGAGGTTCCCCGTTGAGGAAACTGCTCCTGCCGCATCTGGGTCTGGCATGCAAGAGGGAGATAATTCTGTCGTCGTTGATGACGTTGTGTATGCTTGTGCCTTCCACCCCTCAGTGGACCTTCAATTCCATGAGCCTATGTCTCGTCAAGCCCTTGAGCATCTCAAGCTCTCGGCTCTACCTCCTGCTCTGGCTTCTCTTTCCAAGTAAGTCATTTTATTACTTTCTCTCTTTCTTTTCTTCCTGCTAAACTTAATTTATTAGGCCTTCAACTGAAATGCGCAACGGCCATCCTGCTGTATTCCGTGCTCACTCTGATCTCAGGGCACACATCCTGCATGTGCCTAACATAAGTTTATTTTCTCTCTCGTCAAGGTTATTCTCTTTTCTCATCTTCTTCATTCAGATTTTCCATCCCTGCTTTAACTGCAGCTTCTCTGGTTTTCCTGAACTCTGCGAGTTCACTGGGGAAATTGGAGAAGAAGCCTGCACCAAATGCAAGACTGGCAGGCATGGGAAATGTTCTGCATGACTCAATGCCATGGATTTCCGGTGTGCTGCTACCCTTCTCGACCCACTCACCTTGAGTGGTGACCCTGGTAAGTCTATTTATTTATTTCCCTCTTCTTTTTCATAGTTCATTATTTCTTTTCAGCTATCTGTGAGTGGCTTGACCGTGTCGCAGTCCTTGATGCCAAGATCAGAACCTTCTACAACCTTGCTCACAGCCACATGGCCGAGCGCAACAAGGTCGTTCAAGAATTGGTTGACGGTCTCGACTCCATTGCTTCGCATGAGGGGGGAACTGCTATCATCGACACCTATGCTGAGGTCTCTGACCTTATTCGTTCTTTCATCGTCAAGGTTGGCAAGGATGCCTCCGATTCTGGGTCTGAGGGTGGGGCTGACAATGCTTAAAGGGTTTTTTGTATGTACTATACCAATTTCTTGAACGCTCTAGTATTCTTTTGTCATACCACATCAATTGTTTTCTTGTACATTCATTTTCCTTTATTTATCGTAGCACTCAGGGTCTTTAGATGCAGCCAGCAGTAGTTACATTGTATATGCCACGCAGTTTCTTACGGAGTTCAACTCCAAAATTAATATCCTCTCTTCTCTTCTTGCTGCTCCTCTTTTGTGTGTCTCTCTAAGTCTCTCTTCCTTCGAACTTAATGGTCAATGACATCTTATTGTGGCACATCATGATGTGCCTGATCCATGGTTTCTTTATTCGTCTGCTCTGTAGTTCGTTATTTTATCATCTCGTTTTTCCTTTCTTAAATTTATTTCCTTTTGTTTCCTAGCTTGTTGTGACAGCCAATCCTGTATTTCTCAGGCTTTGTAGCCTGTCCTTTTCGCTCTAGGAAATATGTCTTTTTATCTGTCATGTCCGCCACACCATGACATATATTGTAAGTTTATTTTCGCTCTAATTTGATTTTATTTCTTTTTCATTCTTAAAGGTACTCTGTTGCTCTCTTCTTTCTGAGTTTCAGAAAATCGCAAAATTTTATGTACCTTTCCAGGTAATATGTTAATAGTAATACTGTAGGTATACTACTATATCCCCCCCACTAAAAGAAACTGACTGTCCTCAGTCATCAAATTCAAATAAATTAATTCCCTTTCATCCAGTCAATTAATGTCAGCTTAGCAGCTCGCACGCGGTAGTTTACTATCCTCATGTATTTTTCTAAGTACAGGCTGGACTTTGTTCTCTGGTTGTCTCGTGACAATTAAATCTTTTTGTGGTTGTCTATGCCCTCGTTTTTCACTATAAAAGTGGGTGCTAAAGTGGTGGAATCAGCAGAGTGACTACTTCCTTGACGAACACATGAATCCCACTCACATGTGATACCCACAGTACGAGGCACTCAAGGTGGCAGTCTGCACCCATTTCTGGAAGGGTCACCATCAAGACTTGAAGTACAAGGAGTGGGAGGCATTGAAACAGTTGAACTTCAAGAGCACTGAGGACTTCTTCCAGAAGTTTAAAGAACTAGCCAAGGACACCGGAAAACTTGGCAGCGACACTGACATGCTTCGAGTCACCCAAAATGCCACCAGGAAGACATCTCATGACATCATCTACCACAGCAAGTTTGTGGTCCCTCAGACATACACTGAGTGGAAAGAGCAGGTTGAACAGATTGACCTAAACTACCACATCCACCATGCCAAGTTCAGCAGTGGACTGCTGCCCAGAAGTAAGACCTCCCAGAATAACAATTCGGGTCGAGGCCACTAAAATGCTATGTCAGGAAAAGCCAGCAGCTCTGGAAATTCCGGCAACAAGCACGATGAGACTGGGACGATGTATGGTGGACAGGGAGAGCCCATGGAAATCGACAAGTTGCGCAAAGACAACTTGTGCTTCCATTGTGGACAGCCCGATCATATGGCCCATGACAACAAGTGTCCCAGCGACAGGTCGAAATGGAAGAAAGTCAAGATGCCACCGAGGAAGAAACCAAATGTGCAGAGGCTATGGGCACTATTGGAAGAGGCAGAAAAGGAAGAGGTCAAGAGCGCTGTCAAGGCCAACAACGAGAAGGAGGACAAGAAGGCAAAGGAGAAGGAGTCATCAAAAGACAAGCTGGCAGTGCACTAAGCACTTCAACATCATCAGCAAAGGACTTAGTCTCTCATGGTATGCAATCTTCACATGCTGGTTGAACTTATGATACTTTTGTAGGTACACCATTTGAACAATATACAAATTTTTATGCCCTGCTTACCATTGAGATGACTAAGGAAGAAGAAATGCAACAACAAGGTGTAGGAGGGGATTACCACCTTTGCACTGACCAAGGCCAGTCAGTCGATAAAGAACCCCTGGGGCCAACCTCCTGCCAAGGTCAGAAAACGGGCATGAATAGCCTAACAGTGAAAGTATTACGATTTCACAACTTATCTTATCTAATCGTCTCTTTCATCATCCATATATGCTAAACTTCCGACTCTGATCGCACTATACCATGCGAGTATTGTGTGTATAACGCACCGTTGCAGACTCTTGTAGTATATTTAGCATGACCCAAACTGTATTTAAGTAGCTCAACTGCAGGTCTTAAACCTCAGTCTTGAACTAAAGTTTATTCACCCGATAACTTAGTCTGAACTCACTCTCGCTAAACTAAGCGGAAGCTCCCTGCACGCAAACCTGCGAGCAACATAAAGTGCCTGACCGAAGTGCGAGTCACGCTTAGTTGTTTGATCTTGTTTGTGTAATCGGTCGCTAACAATTAGTTCGAGACTTTCTTACTCTTCATCAACCACCACGTTGACGAACAGTAACGAATGAACCCCATTGAACAAGTCATCACCGACCTCATAGGATTACAAGGCTTTGTCGCCATAGCCTATCTCACTTTCCTATATGGATACGAATACCGAAGAAGACAGGAGCGGGTCTCTGAAGAAACTGTCCCTGTCGAAACCCCCAACCAGGAGGCTAGACAACCGGAAACACCCCCTCCCGAATACGTCCCCAGAAACCCAGGGGACATCACCTACCACTTCATTTTCATCCACGATGACGACTTCATCACAGAAGACTCAGACTCCGACTCCAGCTCCGAAATGGAAGGATGGCCCACACAAAGAGGCCCAGTCGTTGAAGAAGAAGAAGAGCGAGGAATCTACGAAAGGGGGATGGACGAGCGTGTTCTCTCTCCCATTACCGAGGAAGAAAGTGAAGGGGAAAGCTCAGGAAGTGATCCCTGGAGCGCCCCATCCCCCACCTCAAACCGAAAACTCAGCCGCCAACCCTGGATATGATTCCGATGGACAGCGCCTCTATCAAAGAGGGCTTAGACACCATCTGGGAGAAAGAGGAATGACTGAAGATGGAACTAGAAGCAGTTCAGATGAGGAGAGCAGCAATAACAAGGAAGACCACGACAGCGACGAGCTCCCAGGGCCGCGCAACAACTGGTCCCCTCCAAGGTTGGACTCCAGAGGAGAAACCTGGGGCAACTACTATGCCCGCGAGGACTCCTCAGACGATGAAGGAAGTTACCTCAACCTCATCACATGACCTAACACCCCAATCATCATCAACGATAGGACCGGGGAAGCCACTACCGAGCTCGACCAGTGCGAGCCCACATATGACGCCGACGCCAGCTGCGATGTATGCCGATAAGTACAGGACTACGCCGACGCATGGCTCATGTACGAAGGAATCGAACCCCCTTCCTCCGTTGTCCCATTCGCCATCTATCCCCTCGCCCCAGAACACCCCTTTGCAGCCCCCGTCCCTTTCATCGCACCCTGGGTATGGGATAGACCCCGAAGACCCGACTTCGAGCAAGTCATTCTCAGGGTCAATGAGTGGGCAAGAATCATTAGAAACTGGAACCGAATCGTTACAGGAAGCACGGAGCCTTTTGAGCGAGTCTGACCAATCGGAATTAGAAGAAGGTGAAATCTACGAGAACCCTGGGACAGGGCTGCCTTCGATTTGGAGTGGCTACACAGGGCAGGAGAGTATGGAGAGGAAGACATCATCCCGGAGTTCGTGGAAGGATCTAGCTCGGGAACCTACTGAGGATGAGCTGGAAAATATGACATATTTAGAAATGCTCCACTGGACAGAGAAGAAATTACCAAGGGAGATTTCCTGGAACGGCTCATTGCAGGGGAGATACTTCCAGGCGGAAAAGAACTCGCCAATTGGAGCCCACGTACTCTATCGGGAGACCATTTTCCACACGAACATTCTATGGAACCAAGTCCATCCGGACGATTACGTAGAACCAGGAGAACGGTACGAGGTACCAGAACCATCAGAAACATCCAGCGGAGAAACCGTGGACCTAAGCCACTTAGCGATCCTCAAAAGAGCAGGGTACGTTGACCCTAGCTGACTATTCGCCGCCGCAGGAACGCCTGGAAGTGCAACCGCAGCAGCGGTGCCAGTACCCGCTGTGGCCGCAGTACCAACAGGTCCTGCAGGACCACTATCCCCACACCATAACCCCGCACTACGGTCGTTACCACGACCGGCAGCCATCCCTATCCCCGCCGATCCTGTACAACCACCAACCACACCCCCACCACTCCTAGTCGGAACAGCGAACACCAATCCGTGGGGACAGGTGAAACTGCAGTTGGCGGAACCACCAGATAAGTTTACAGGGGCGTCAAACAACGTAGACAGATTTTTCAACCAATGTGAAGACTACTTCGCGGTATTCCCACAGCAATTCACCATGAACGCACATGGACAAAGCCCGAACAGGGTCGTGTTTTGCACATTCTGATTTGCAGGAAAAGCTTTACATTGGTGGAATGACGCCAGGGATGAATACTACGATCCCACTTGTGACCACCTGTGATATCCGGCATATCATGTATTCAAGCAAATCATTGAAGACCAATTCCGAACCGATGCGGAGGTAGAACTCAAGTTACAGGAGTTCAAACGCATATGCCCAAACACATACAAATCGGCAAAGGAATTCTTCCGGGACTTCGAAAGGTTAGCCCGAGAAGCAAAAAAGCGCCACAACGAAGAATACATGATTGAGATCCTAAAGCCCACCATCCGAAAGAATGTAAAAACGGCCATACATGCCACGGGCACTGCACTACCACGCACCTATGCAGAATGGAAGTTCCGGGTGGAGCAAATGGACTACAATTACCGAGTCGGACTAGCAGAGGAAGCAGGAAGAAACGTGAACAACATGGGACAGCAGGGAAAAGGGAAGGGGACTGGACAGCAACCAGGTGATAAGAAGACCGGCACGGGAACCATGTACAGTGGACAAGGGCAGCCAATGGAAATAGACTGCCTTCGAAAGGAAGGACGCTGTTTCCGTTGCGGTCACAAAGGACACCGCAAACAAGACAACAAGTGCCCAAAGGACGAAAGCACTTGGCTCGTCAAGCACCAGCCCAAGTTTTCC